GGGTGCACACCCAGACCGCTCTGGGCTCACCCCAGCTCCCCTCTCAGCCCTCGCCCCCCATCTTCTCATCCAGCCTCCCCCCTCCCCTCAGGACCTGCCCTGAAACCCTTTGGAGTGTCCTGGTGCCCTCAAAAGAGCCCTCCCTCCTGACAGCCTGGCCCCCGCCCGCTCCCCTGAACCCGCACCCTGTTGGCCACTTGCTGCTCCCCCAGCCAACACTCTCCTGGCCTCCTGCACGTGCGCTATCCTCATCTGACAGCTTCCTCCGGGGAGCCCTCCCTGACTGCTCCTGCCCCTGAGGCTGCCTGACTCACCTCTGCCCCATGACCTCCACGTCCCGGCCCTCGGAAGGCAGACAGATCCCCTCGCATGAGCTCTGAGTGCAGGGTCTGCCTCCTCCCAGGCAGAGGACCAAGCTTGGAAGGTCTGGGTTTTCAGCCCTGAAGTGGGTGGCAGGGCCCCCAGATGGCCAGTGCCTCACCCCACCTGCCCAGGGCTCACCCCCAGGCCGAACCTAAAACACAGGGGCCTTCAACAAAGGGCCGCCCTGGAAGGAGGCAGAGAGGGTCAGAGCCTGCAGGAGAGCGGGTGGGCCCAGCAGTCAGGGGGCCTCCCTGGAAGAGGCGGCTCCTGGCTGGTCCAGGACAGAAGAGCTGGGACCGAGACAAGGCCACAAGGGCTTCCTGCCGCAGGTCCACACACCATGGGCCCAGATGGGGTGGGCACACGCTGCTTCAGTGCCCAGGGGAGGCGGAGCCTCTGGGCACTGGACCTGTGGAGCCCCTTTCCCAGGACTTGGGGCGCGCGCCGAGCTGCCCCAGACCCAGGGGCGCCGTCAGGGGCACAGACATTCCCAGCAGTGGCTTTGAGAGTCCGTCTCATGAAGGGGTCGGGAGGGTTGGCACCTGGGCCAAAATGACCTCGCCTGCCTCCTCCTCCATGCCCACCCCTGCCCGGTGGGGTGGGGCCGAGCTGGCACCGGTCATTCGTCACTGCGTAAAGCATGCGACATGGCCGCTCTGGGCCCTGCAGAGGCCAGAGAGTCTCCACGCTGCTCCAAGACTCAGTGTTCCCATCTGCAAAATGGGGACACAGCCCTGCGCTAGTGTGGACGGCGCAAAGCCTGCCTGCCCGCCTGCCCGGCTGCCCAGCTCTGCCTGACCTTGGACGTGGCAGCTGTGGTCACTCCTGTTCACAGATGCGAGATCGCCTCCTCCAGCCCCTCCAGCCCCTCCAGCCCCTCCAGCCCTGGGCTATGCAAGAGGGTGGGGCTACGGGAGGCCCAGCACTGCCCTGCCCCTGGGGAGGCCTTGGCATTCCCAGAGCCACCCAGCCCCCCGCATGGTCAGCACTGGCCCTGGGCCTCCCTGGCCCTGGTGGGAGCTTCTCCGGTGGGGGCTCAGGCCAAGTCAGGGTCCCCGGCCGGAGGTCAGGGGCTCCCCGCCAGCCCAGTTGCCCACACCCTGCTGTGCCTCTGAAGGAACCCGTGGCCCCAGGATAGGAAGGGATGTGACCACTGGAGCCATTGCAGGTGAAGGACTCGGGGTCCTGGGTGGGGGTGGAGGTGGCACGGGACATTCTGGAAGAGGGAAGGGTCACCTAGGAGGGCGGTTGGGGGTGTGGGGAGGGAGCTGGACCTGGTCTGGTTGGGGGAGGCTGGGTGTGTTCCCTGCACAGCCACCAGGGGGCAGCCTTTACACGCAGGCTGGACGGGACATGGCTCTCTCCCCCTAGACACTGGATAGGGGTGCAGACCCGCCCAGCACAGCTGGTGCAGGGGGCAGGCTTGGGTGGGTGGAGAGACCAGGGCGTGTGGTCCCTCCGAGCCTGACAGGGAGGAGTCTCAGCTGGAAAAGGCCTGGACCAACCCCCTGGGGCCTTATCAGGGATGCAGGCCCCGCCCCCACCCCCACCCCCGCTCTGATGCAGCAGGTCTCCCACCACTGCCCACGAGAGGCACTGACCTCCATCCCTGAGAGCGGACGCCGAGCTGGACGCCAGGAGGCCAGGGAACCACCAAAATCAAGCAGAGAATGAGGGCCTCGAATGGGGAGGGGCCCAGGCCTCCGAGAGGCAGGAGGCTGGTGAGATGGACCCTCGAGCCTGCAGCCTGGGGTGGCCTCCGGGCGGAGGCAGAGCGACGCCCCGTGTCCCAGGCCCCCTCTGCCCTCCCTGGGATGTGCTGGATCCCAGAGATGTGGGCCAGGGCCAGGCCTGGGGGAGGAGGGCGGGG